CCTGGTTGGTACCTCATTCCATTAGATGGCCAGTACAGTTCCTGGTTGGTACCTCATTCCATTAGATGGCCAGTACAGTTCCTGGTTGGTACCTCATTCCATTAGATGGCCAGTACAGTTCCTGGTTGGTACCTCATTCCATTAGATGGCCAGTACAGTTCCTGGTTGGTACCTCATTCCATTAGATGGCCAGTACAGTTCCTGGTTGGTACCTCATTCCATTAGATGGCCAGTACAGTTCCTGGTTGGTACCTCATTCCATTAGATGGCCAGTACAGTTCCTGGTTGGTACCTCATTCCATTAGATGGCCAGTACAGTTCCTGGTTGGTACCTCATTCCATTAGATGGCCAGTACAGCTTCTGATTGACACTTCATTCCATTAGATGGTCCGTACAGGTTCTGGTTGACACCACATTCCATTAGATGGCCAGTACAGCTAGGTATTGACACATTCCATTACATGGTCAGTACAGCTAGTGATTGGTACCTCATTCCATTACATAGTCAGTACAGTACCTCATTTCACTAGATGGTCAGTACAGCTCGTGATTGACACCTCATTCCATTAGATGGCCTGTACAGTTTCTGATTGACACCTCCTTCCATTCGATGGCCACTACAGTTCCTGATTGGTACCTCATTCCATAAGATGACCAGTACAGCTAGTGATTGGTGCCTCATTCCATTAGATGGTCAGTACAGCTAGTGATTGACACCTCATTCCACTAGATCAATGTTTCCCAACCCAATCCTCAAGTACCCCCTACCAGTCCAGGATTTAGGAATTACTCTGTGTCTAAGGTGTTTTTAGAAAAAAAAATAATAATAACCCTTTAGTCACAACAGGTTAATCCCTAAATCATGGACTGGTAGGTGGTACCTGAGAACTGGGTTGGGAACCCCTGCACTAGATGGTCAGTACAGCTCGTGATTGGCACCTCATTCCATTTGATGGCCTGTACTTTTCCTGATTGGCACCTCATTCCATTAGATGACCAGTACAGTACCTGATTAACACCTCCTTCTATTAGATGGTCAGTACAGCTTCTGATTGACACCACATTCTATGAGATGGTCAGTACAGCTTCTGATTGACACCACATTCTATGAGATGGTCAGTACAGCTTCTGATTGACACCACATTCCATGAGATGGTCAGTACAGCTTCTGATTGACACCATAGCGGAGAGGTAGCATATAATAATCCAGGTAGAACAAGTACAGCATACAATAATCCCGGTAGCATTATACAGATCGATCCTTCCCAAGAACTAGACGACACATAGGCTGGGTCAACTGGGGTTTTATTCACAAGCTCCAGTATTTATGTGGTTCCCCATGCAAGGTGTTTCCTTACTGACTTTACAGGGGTTGTACAGTAGGGGACTACATGGGGAACTTAACATCCCGAACATTTCTCCCACCATGCACTGCTGTAAGAGAGGGATACTCCCACTAGAATATCCAGTTAAGTGGATTATCCCTCCGTACAGCAGAACTGGCTTTTTACATAAAAATCCATAACTCCAATATTATTCGTGCTATTGTACCGAATGACCGTTTGGCAGATAGCTGGGGTCTGAGCGCATACTTCGTGAAAGTACCGCTCAGATCCCAGCACAATCAGCCGAACGCCGCACGAAATACACTTGAATACAAATTCTTCACAAAAGTCATGAATACACATATAGAGATAAACTACCGAAAGACCGGTGCTCCCGAACGGCCTGGAAGTCCAGCGGTATTCATGTCGTCGAGTAGCCGATTTTAGTTCCAGGCACTCGATGACTAAACACAGCTGGGCTAACAAAGTATCCAAGATGGCAGCCGCCGCGTGGTCGGTATCCGAACGGTGGCCACCCTGAACCTCTATTAACTGCCGAAAGATACCTTGTTGAAATCCGTAATGGGAGCCACACGACCTCCTGTGTGTGGTCTCCCATTCGGTAGTTTGTTAGTTTGCTGGTGCTCGAATACGAATGCTCTCGTTCACATAAAATACAGAATAGGGCACATGGACAGTTCAGGCAGTCTGAATGCACAACAACACATAAGGTAAATACAGTCTTAGGTGGCTAGGTTTGCCACACTCCACATTCCATGAGATGGTCAGTACAGCTTCTGATTGACACCACATTCCATGAGATGGTCAGTACAGCTTCTGATTGACACCACATTCCATGAGATGGTCAGTACAGCTTCTGATTGACACCACATTCCATGAGATGGTCAGTACAGCTTCTGATTGACCCCACATTCCATGAGATGGTCAGAGCAGCTTCTGATTGACCCCACATTCCATGAGATGGTCAGTACAGCTTCTGATTGACCCCACATTCCATGAGATGGTCAGTACAGCTTCTGATTGACCCCACATTCCATGAGATGGTCAGTACAGCTTCTGATTGACACCACATTCCATAAGATGGTCAGTACAGCTTCTGATTGACACCACATTCCATGAGATGGCCAATACAGCTGGTGTGATGATGTGAAGCACAGGGCAAGATCTGTGCCTCCTGCCTGACTTTCTTTAATTGTTTCTGCAGGATTCACTTACTGAAGGAGACCGAATCCAGTAAGTATCTCTGTAAATAGATATGTATAACCCCTCCCATCTATTCTAACCTCTCTCCACTGTCTAAATGAACCCCCTCAGTCTATATTAACCCCTCTCCTACCATCTCTACTATTCCCTCCCATCTATTCTGACTCCTCCCCTGCTCTCTATCCCCTCCCATCTATTGACTCCTCCCTTGCTATCTCTGTCCCATCTATTGACTCCTCCCCTGCTATCTCTACTGTCCACTCCCATCTATTCTGAATCCTGTGCTGCTATCTTTACTATTCCCTCCCATCTATTCTGACTCCTCCCCTGCTATTTCTACTATCCCGTCCCATCTATTCTTACTACTCCCCTGTTATCTCTACTATTCCTTCTCATCTATTGTAATTCCTCCCCAGCTATCTATATCCTCTCCCATTTGTTGTAATTCCTCCCCTGCTGTCTATACTATCTGTAACGGGACGCCTCAGTAACCCAACTGGTTGCTCCCGCTAGTTCCCTTCCTTCGGCCGATCAGGAAATCTTACATAGTAAGGGGAGTTGGCTCTATGCACTCCAAGGCAGAGATGACACAAGGATTTTCCCTGTTGCTCCTCTGCCAGCTGGAACAGCAGACACAGGGGTTAAATCTTCCTTCCCTCCAATAACAGGACAACACACAGTTTTAGATGTTTAAGCACTGACTTCTCTTTATTGCAAATAGGCTTCTTTTATGCACAGACCCCACAGGGGGTCTCCATTCAACATAACACAATCCCAGGCAGGAGGGGACTAGGTTACAGATAGCCATCTCCTGCTCTGGGAGATACCAACAGCACACAGGGTTACACCTTAAGACACATTACATACAGGGGGTTTAAGCTTTCGGGCTCAGTGCCCCGGGAAGGGATCACACAGCTAAAACATATATTGTCAGACCCGGGTCCCTGTCTATTCAAACCCCTCCCCTGCCGTCTGGTCTAACCCCTCCCCTGCCGTCTGGTCTAACCCCTGCCATCTATGGAATAGGTCCACCATGTTATGACAGTAAGCGAAACACAGCTTGAGATCTGAGCATGAACCCACCAAAGGCGATGAAGTCAGTTTTCAGTGTGTTAGTATATTACTGCTTTATTGGATGGGGAGGGGGCAATACTTGCTGTTACAGTGTTAACGAGGGGCACTTGGCTAGCTCAATGTCTGTATTCTCCAGATTTCTGCAGCACCAGAATGATGAGTTGCGCCGTCGCCTGGCATTTGCCACTACAAAAATGGAAGCTTTGGAGCATGAAGTGGAAGCAGGAAGGCATTACCTAGAAATGGAGCTGAATCGCAACCGAGAGGAACTAGAGAAATTTAAAGACAAGTTCCGCAGGTACTGGGTAGCGGTACCACCACTTACTCGCCCACCCTGTACGTACACTTGGTGCTTCTCACCTGGTGCTCTTTACCCCCTCCGTGTCCCTACTCTCCGAATGCAACTTTCACTTGGAGCTCAGTGCTTTCCACTAACTCCGCCCCCCCCCCCATGTTTCTCTGCAGATTGCAGAACAGCTACACCGCCTCACAGAGAACCAATCAGGATCTGGAGGAGAAGCTGCACACGCTGGTATTTAACCCATTCCTTTTATTTTATTTTTAATGTTGATAGTAGAATTGTGCAGTCATGTTGATCTCTAGACTGGAGCCACGAGCCAACCATCTTATTATTTCACTTGGTGACTAAGTAGACAGCCTACAGCGTATATCAACGTTTTACACCTTCCTGCCCTAAAGTAAAGATTGGACTCCACCAACTGCTGTTTGAAAGTGGTGGAAACTGGAATTGTCAGTGGTGGTGGTCATAACCTGTTGCTTTAAGAAATATACATGGCTGCAAGCCATCCAACACTGAGTCTGGATATATAAAAATAACAGTATACTAAAGCTTTTCATATCACACAGTAACTTTTACATCTTTACGATTCATTAAAGAAATCCTGTAAAGTGTCACAAACAATAAGTTATAACACATACAGGTGAGAGCCACTGCTGCACTCCCACGCAGACCCACTGCTGCACTCCCACGCAGACCCACTGTACAGTACCCCTCATGTACATGTTTATGGTGTTTTCAAAAGTTACAGAGTCAACTATAAAGCTTGCGTTTCAGTTTTTTCACATTGAAATTCGCCAGATTGTTGTCCAAGATTGGCATTCAAATTAGTTTTTTGCATTTTTCACACACAAACAAATATTAATGCTAACTTTGGCCAGTGTTTGTGATTAAGTGGCTACTAAGAAGACTAGACCTAACCCATTTGCAATACCTTGGTTTGTCTAATATTGCAAATGGTATGCCGTCATGGGGGTAATTCTCATTCCTGAGCTACCATAGGGTCTCCAAGGCAACGTAACCAATCTGGCGAATTTCCATGTGAGAAAAATGTAACGTGCTATATTTGACCCTGTAACTTCCCAAAACACCATAAAACCTGTACATAGGGGGTACTGTTTTACACGTGAGACATCGCTGAATACAAATATGTATTTTATTGCAGTAAAAGCAAACCGTATTATGACATTCACAGTTAGAATGTCACGTAGAACTTTAAAAAATGTAAGTCTTATTTTTTTTCATATTTTATTCATATTAAATTGTTTCATACCTAAATATTTGATGTTAAATGAAAGCCCTGTTTCCCCTGAATAAAATGATATATAATAAGTGTGGGTGCACGGTTGAACAGACATATAGTCAAATTCCAGATTTTGTTTACGTTTTGTTTCGATCACAATGTGTACATTTGGCTCAGTCCTTAAAGGGACACTCCAGGCACCCAGACCATTTCTGCCCATTGGAGTGGTCTGGGTGCCAACTCCCACTACCCTCATGGCCGGTGCATGGATTTTTGCCGCCCTAGGCAAAAATAAAATTTGCCGCCCCCCCCCCATATGTCCTGCCCACCATGTGACATCACAATGCCCCGCCCATATGCTCTGCCATATGGGCCAACGCCAGTCTTCACAAAGTGTCTTTTATCTGAAAAGACAGTGTTTAAATTAAAAAGCCTACAGGCACAGGCTATAGACACCAGAACCACTACATTAAGCTGTAGTGCTTCTGGTGACTATAGTATCCATTTAATGTGAGGTAAATTAGAGATTAGTGCCACTAATAATATATTGGATTGCCTACTTACCACCAGATGAGGACAAGAGGCTGATTATGGGCTCAGTCTGGCTCCACAGGTCTGGTGTAGAAGAGGCTCTCAGGAGACTGTTTTTAACAGTGCTCACAACAATTATCGATCAGGAAGCAGCTCCATTTTTTAGGGCCCCTTACACAGCTCAAGGTCTGGGGCCCCGGGGCTTGACCGTGAGTATGCCTACAATGCCCACCCACGAGTTCTCTCACAGGTAGTGGAGTGTATGTGTGGAGGGGATGTTTTATGTGTTATTGTAGAGGATGCAATGTGTGTGTGTTCTTATAGAATGTAGTGTATAGGGATACCAATTTCTGTAAGGGATGTAGTTTGCGTGTAAGGAATGCATTGTATGTTTCTGGGTGGGTGTGTGTGTGTCTCTAAGGGGTGCAAGGTGTGTTTCTGTGTATTTAATTGAATGCAGTGTGTGTCTGTAAGGGGTGCATTGATTGTGTAAGAGATGCATTTTGTGTGTAAGAGAATGAGTGTTTGTGTGAACGTAAGGGATGCATCGGGTGTGTCTGAGTAGGGATGCATTGTGTGTTTCTGTGTGTGTGTGTGTTTGGGGGGGGGTGTATTGTGTATGTGTGTAGTGTAAAAGAGCGGGTTTGTGGGGTAGGATAGAGACTGAGAGGGGAGCAGCTCTTTATTTTTTTCTATTTTTTTTCATAGTGCTCTCCCCCCTGTCAATTTATTGATTTCCCCTTCCCTCCTGTCCCTCCGTGTTCTCCCCTTCTGTCCCTTAGTGCTCTCCCTTGGCCCCCTGTAGTCCCCCCTTGGTGGTCTTCTCACTCCTCCCTTCCCCCTTAGTGGCCCTCCCTCTCCCAAACCCGTTAGTAGACATTCCCCTCCTCCCCCACCCCCTTAGTGGTAATCTCCCCCCCCCACACGCTGTGTGAGGACCTCAAGCGTCGCTCAATTTTCAATGCTTTCCTATGTGAAGCTCTAATGCGCATGCGGGTGTCTCAGGTAAGTGACTGAAGGGGTTTTCTCCCCTTCAGCAACCGGAGGTGGGAGGGAGAGGGGACCTGCAGTGCCAGGAAAACGGATTGTTTTCCTGGCACTGGAGTTTCCCTTTAAGGGGTTAATATATTGTTATTGTTTTGTATGTTTTATGTTATGTTTGTTTGTTTTTTTTCCTCTGTGGATTACTGTCAGTATGTCTGTGTAGCGGAGAGCTGGTATTCCACAGGTTATCTCCACTTAAGATCCCAGTGAGGCTCAAGAACAAGTATTAGAAATCCATAAGGCAATAATTACAGCAGGCAAGACAATCCAATAATATCCCAACATCGATCCCAATGACCGGACGACACACAGCATCAGGAGCAGAACTGAACTTTTAATCACTCAACCTTCTTTTAAAGCTTTCTCCCATGCAAGGGAGGGATTTACAGTAATTATACAATACACAAATCATATATGAGTAGCCGCCCACACATCTCCTCCCCTAGTATGACTCATAATCCCATTATGCAGGACACATTTCCCCTGATTTTCTGGATGTACCCTTAAACATAGGGGTACTACTTTAAATATTACATCTCCTGGTAGCCCTGATCTGGGTGAGAAACATATTCAAAAATCACCTAGATCGGACCAGGGGTTCGGGAAATTCCTGGAGGTAATAAAGACAGACCATGCTGGGGTTAACAGCCGAAATGGGTTCCATACGTTTTGGCCCTGTGGTTGGTCACAGAAAAAGGGAACAAAATGCCCGAACGACTTGGGTTATGGAGACTGGTGAGGATTCGGATAAACCCCCTTGTTCGTGGGGTTCTTTCTACCGAACGGGGAGCCGTTCGGTAGTTTCTACACGAAGGGACGGCAGTGTGGAGGTCTAAGCGGTGTTTGCCTAGCCGAGTGTCAGATTTGGGTTCCAGACACTCAACGGCAAAACACAGCTGTTCGGGATTTAAGATGGCCGCCGCCACGTGTTCGACCCCCGAATGGCGGCCACCCAGAGGACAAAGCACACACTGCACTGACTGCCAATTACTCGTTTGCGACATTGTTGCGAACGGTAATTGGAGGCACACTTAATCCTGAGGTGGTCTGATTGTTAGGTAGTTTCACTAGCATAATAACTGGAGTGATTTTACCGAACAATCAGTCGAATGCTGCATACACTTTACATACATATGGCAAAAATTAACGGAAAACATCCGAATACACATAATTCTGAGGACAGCCCAATGTCATTCGCTACAGTCTGTGTTTCCAGATCTATACTGTTATGGGAGCTTTGTCTATAGACATTTTTACACATTTTACACATCTTTGGTCTCGCACTATTTTACTGTTCTGTTAGGCTGTCGTTCCTCGTTGGCTTGTAATGGTTGGTTTATACAGGATAGAATTGTACATTAGATGTTTACAGACAATGTGTACATTAACCTTTTCAAAACTTGGTACAAACTTTTTTGTTTACATTTTTTTTTTTCAGTATAGAAATGTAGCCAACATATCCTCTCACCCTCATTTATACTCTATTTATAATCACCAGTCTGTAGAGCAACACATTTATCTTCTAGAAGTCACTGATTGAATGCTCTCACCCCCTGCTTTCAAACATTAAAGGAAGTTTCAGTGGGTCATACCATTCCTACCGTCAGGGAGGGAAGGAGTGAAGTAGCTCTACAATTTCACTATCAGCCTTATATTAGTGCCTTCCAGAAATTGATAATGATTCCTAGAGCAGTTTTAAATACCTTTATTTTAGATTTAACCGTATTTACTGTATGTGGGCATTAAGTTTAATGCAATACAATATATATGTGAAATGTGTTATATCTTTATATGCGGTATGCATCCCTTGCTTCGAATACATGGTATGCTAATATTTATATTCATTCAAAAAGTGTTTGGTAGTGAAGAGGTTAAGCGAGTCTTTTCGTAAGGGGAGTGTGTGCACGGTGTGTTTGCTCAGGGGGGGTGTGTGCACAGTGTGTTTGCTCAGGGGGAGTGTGTGCACGGTGTGTTTGCTCAGGGGGAGTGTGTGCGCAGAGTGTTTGCTCAGGGGGAGTGTGTGCGCAGAGTGTTTGCTCAGGGGGAGTGTGTTCGGAGTGTTGGCGCAGGGTGGGCGTGTGTTCGGAGTGTTGGCGCAGGGTGGGCGTGTGTTCGGAGTGTTGGCGCGGGGGGGCGTGTGCGGAGTGTTGGCGCGGGGGGGGCGTGTGCGGAGTGTGGCTACTGGGGAACGTGAAGCGCGGGTGTGTTGGCGCGGGGCGCGTGGGGTGTTGTGCAGGGGAAGCCTTGAGGCTGCGTTGGCTGCGCGGCGCCAGCGCTGGGCGCAGGGCGGCGAGTGTTGGCGCTGGCAGCGGAGTGTTGGCGCTGGGGGCGGGTGGTGCAGAGTGTTGGCGCCGGGGGGAACGTAGGCGCAGGGTGTTGGGGTGGGCGTGTAAGCGGGGTGTTTGTGCAGGGGGAGCGCGGGGTGTTGGCGCGGGTGTTGGCACGGGGGGCGCATGCGCGGGGTGTTGGCGCGGGGGGCGCGTGCGCGGGGTGTTTGCGCAGGGGGGGCGTGTTGCGGGAGTGTGTACACGGTGTTGTTATGGAGCTCCCTGTACTCCGACAGAGTACCCTCCGTTGATGGATGCTCCTAGCACTTTCTGAAGACTCCAAACACTGCAGCAGACACCACAACCACCGCAGACTCCACAACCGCCGTAGCTTCTGTCCTCCAGGACCGTGTGGGGAAGACCTCTCCTCCAGGAGAGCGTAACAGGCTCTTAAAAGAGCTAAGTGATTAAAAGCTCAGGGGAATGTGCAGAGCATAGCAATCCCCAGTGTGATATAGCAGTTCCCTCCAATAACGAGACAAAGCTGCGTATTGAGGGTCAAGAAGATCTGTTTACTTGGCACCAAAGGGCCTTCTTTTATGCAGGTTTAACACATACGGGACCGCCCACAGGGGTTTACAGAACCACCAATCATAAACGTACATTACAGAAACACTCCCAGCAATTACATCCAAGAATCCTCCCCTCTGCCTGTGATCTAATTATGGCACACAGTGCTTAACATAATTATCACAAGCAGGAAAAATACAGTTTTTATACATGTACTATATCTTTAAAACTACACATCCAATCTTCATATTTGGAATCAGCACACTTTAAATATAAACATAACCAAAAATCAGCCAAATCCATGCAGGGGTTAAAAAGTTAGCTGGAGGTCCCTTTATTACCGACCGCAAGCACTTTTTCCTGCCCAAAACAGTTCCATAGATTTGGGCTGTGCGGCCGGTCTATTTCAGGCTGAAAAAACGACCAAGTCCCATCGCCGAATGTAAAATCATTGTGGGAGAAGGTAGGGCTCAGCGGTGTTCGCGGAAATGTGTGCCGATTTTAGTTCCATGAATTTGGCTACACATACCGCTGACCTCGTTCGCATTAACAAAGATGGCCGCCGCCACGTGTTCGGCAAACGAACAAAGGCCACCCAGCATTGTTAATTAAGCTGTGGTTAACTGCAGCTTCTGGGAGGTAAATTGCCTGCACACTTCCACTTCTGGGTGGTCTGCCTGTGTGGTACTTGGTTCAGTAAGCCCCATTTACTGAACCAAGTGGGAAATAGCCAGGCAGGCACAAAGGGTTTGCACCAGGTCTGGGGACACAGAGGACACCGTCTTAAAGGGGCAGTGTCCCAATCTTCCTGATGTCCCAAAAGGTGTTTAAAGGGCCAGCACCAGTCCCATAAAGAGTCCATAAGCCCCAATATGCCCACTGGCTGTCTTAAAGGGCCATACACACTCAATAAAGGTGCATAAGTTCTCACAATCTCCAAGGGGCCATAGTCATGTGGAAGGAGGCTAGCAAATAGCCTTCTCCACAACCCAGGGAAGCAGGGAAATTTGCTATTTAAAGGGCCAGTTACAAATAGCACTTTGTAACAAGTGTGTTTGCTCAGGGGGAGTGTGTATGCGGGGTGTCTGTGCAGAGTGGTTGTGCGGGGGGGGGAGGGGGGGTTTTGTGGAGTGTTGGCGCCGGAGAAGTTTATTTGTGCTGACAGTTGTTGGATAATCTCCCATGTGATTCACTCCTTTCTGAATTCTTCCAATTTATTTCTTTTTTTCTCTCTCTTCTCCCGGCTTCATGCTGTTGCTTTTCCATCCAGGCATCGCTCAGTCAAAGCTGGATCTATTCAGTTGCGTTTGGTAGATAAGGGGGAACAATTGGTTGGTTGGGATCTCATGTTTGGGGTCCCTGTCCTGTCCTGTCTGGATTTATCAAACCTTACCTTATCTTGGCCTTCTGTCTCCCATGTCCCAATACAGACTCTCCCTGGTGGGCAGGTTAGCACTCTCACTCTGCACCTTTCACTCTCCTGGTCTCTAATCCTTTTAAAATTTTTATTTATTTTTAGATTGCACTTTTTTATCCTCTGTCTACAGTCTCTATGGGGACAACCTTTGTTTTGTCTCGTACTAAAAATATAAAACTTCTTGCAGATTAAAAAAGCTGAAATGGATCGGAAGACTCTGGATTGGGAGATTGTGGAACTAACCAACAAATTATTGGACGCAAAGACCACAATCAACAAGCTGGAAGAATTAAATGTAAAATGGTCTTCATATGTCTTTACATATTTTAGGGTGATAGCGGTAAACTGACATTGTGTGTTCTCTGCACGTTAGATGTAAACTAGGAGGTGATAATATCATTGTATACAATGTGGCCCAGTATTTATGGGATAGAATATGGTGAGTGGCACAGTGGTCAGCAGGAGAATGTAGTGAGCAGCCGGTGTTAATGGGATAGAATGTGGCGAGCGGCCCGGTGTGAATGGGATAGAATGTGACGAGCTGGCGGGTGTTAATGGGATAGTATGTGACGAGCTGGCAGGTGTAAATGGGATAGAACGTGGCGAGTGGCCCAATGTTAATGGGACAGAATGTGGCGAGTGGCCCAGTGTTAATGGGATAAAATGTGGCGAGTGGCCCGGAGTTAATGGGATAGAATGTGACGAGCTGGCAGGTGTAAGTGGGATTGAACGTGGCGGGTTGCCTGGTGTTAATGGGATAGAATACGACAAGCGACCCGGTGTTAATGGGATAGAATGTGGCCAGTGGCCGGTGTTAATGGGATAGAATGTGGCCATTGGCCTGTGTTAATGGGATAGAATGTGGCCATTGGCCTGTGTTAATGGGATAGAATGTGGCCATTGGCCTGTGTTAATGGGATAGAATGTGGCCAGTGGCCTGTGTTAATGGGATAGAATGTGACGAGCGACCCGGTGTTAATGGGATAAAATATGGTGAGTGGCACAGTGGTCGGCAGGAGAATGTGGTGAGCAGCCGGTGTTAAAGGGATAGAATGTGAAGTGACCCAGTGTTAATGGGATAGAATGTGGCGAGCTGGCCGGTGTTAATGGGATAGAATGTGGCGAGCTGGCCGGTGTTAATGGGATAGAATGTGGCGAGCTGGCTGGTTTTAATGGGATAGAATGTGGCGAGCTGGCCGGTGTTAATGGGATAGAATGTGGCGAGCTGGCTGGTTTTAATGGGATAGTATGTGGCGAGTGGCCCGTTGTTAATGGGATAGTATGTGGCGAGCGGCCCATTGTTAATGGGATAGAATGTGGTGAGCTGGCTGGTTTTAATGGGATAGTATGTGGCGAGTGGCCCGTTGTTAATGGGATAGTATGTGGCGAGCGGCCCATTGTTAATGGGATAGAATGTGGCGAGCTGGCCGGTGTTAATGGGATAGAATGTGGCGAGCTGGCCGGTGTTAATGGGATAGAATGTGGCGAGCTGGCTGGTTTTAATGGGATAGTATGTGGCGAGTGGCCCGTTGTTAATGGGATAGTATGTGGCGAGCGGCCCATTGTTAATGGGATAGAATGTGGTGAGCGGCCCGGTGTTAATGGGATAGAATGTGAAGAGCGATCCCATGTTAATGGGATAGAATGTGGCGAGCTGGCCGGTATTCGTGGGATAGAATGTGGTGAGCATCTTGTTGCTCGTGGATTAGAATCTGAGTGGCACGGTGTTAATGGGAAAGAATGTGACGAGTGGCCGGTGTTAATGGGAAAGAATGTGACGAGTGGCCGGTGTTAATGGGAAAGAATGTGACGAGTGGCCGGTGTTAATGGGAAAGAATGTGACGAGTGGCCGGTGTTAATGGGAAAGAATGTGACGAGCGACCCGGTGTTAATGGGATAGAATGTGGTGAGTGGCCCGGTGTTAATGGGATAGAATATGACTAGCAACCCGGTGTTAATGGGACAGAATGTGGTGAGCTGGCCGGTGTTAATGGGATAGAATGTGACGAGCGGCCGATGTAATGGGATAGAATGTGACGAGCGGCCGATGTAATGGGATAGAATGTGACGAGCGGCCGATGTAAGGGGATAGCTTGTGACGAGCGGCCGATGTAAATGGGATAGAATGTGACGAGCGGCCGATGTAAATGGGATAGAATGTGACGAGCGGCCGGTGTAAATGGGATAGAATGTGACGAGCGACCCGGTGTTAATGGGATAGAATATGACTAGCAACCCGGTGTTAATGGGATAGAATGTGGTGAGCTGGCCGGTGTTAATGGGATAGAATGTGGTGAGCTGGCCGGTGTTAATGGGATAGAATGTGACAAGCGACCCGGTGTTAATGGGATAGAATGTGACGAGCGACCCGGTGTTAATGGGATAGAATGTGGTGAGTGGCCCGGTGTTAATGGAATAGAATGTGACGAGCGGCCGGTGTTAATGGGATAGAATGTGACGAATGGCCTGGTGTTAATGGGATAGAATGTAGTGAGTGGCCCGGTGTTAATGGGATAGAATGTAGTGAGTGGCCCGGTGTTAATGGGAAAGAATGTGGTGAGCTGGCCGGTGTTAATGGGATAGAATGTGACGAGCGACCCGGTGTTAATGGGATAGAATGTGACGACACCCGGTGTTAATGGATAGAATGACGAAGCCACCTCGCTGTTAATGGATAGAATGTGGTGAGTGGCCTGGTGTTACTGGGATAGAATGACGGAGTTTAATCTGGAAGTTAATGGGATAGAATATGGTCAGTGGCACGCGGTTGGTGCAGGAGAATGTGGTGAGCGCCGTGTTACTGGGATAGAATGCTAAGAGCAAAACCAGTGTTAATAGCCGGGATAGTGTAGCCAGCTGGCCGGGTGCACTATGGATAGAATGTGTTGAGCAGCTTTGTTGCTCGTGGAATAGAATCTGGTGGAGGGCCCGTGTTAATGGAAAGAATGCGAGAGGCCCGTGTTAATGGGATAGAATGGCTGGTAGTGGCTGGTGTCGGGATATGGCGCAGCGTCCGCGTTAATGGGAAAGAATGCGGTGAGAGGCCCGGTGTTAATGGGATAGAATGTGGCGAGGTGGCTGGTGTTAATGGGATAGTATGTGGCGAGCGGCCCGGTGTTAATGGGATAGAATGTGACGAGCGACCCGGTGTTAATGGGATAGAATGTGACGAGCGACCCGTTGTTAATGGATAGAATGTGGTGAGTGGCCTGGTGTTAATGGGATAGAATGTGACGAGCGACCTGGTGTTAATGGGATAGAATATGGTCAGTGGCACAGTGGTTGGCAGGAGAATGTGGTGAGCGGCCGGTGTTAATGGGATAGAATGCGAAGAGCAAACCAGTGTTAATGGGATAGTGTAGCGAGCTGGCCGGTATTCATGGGATAGAATGTGTTGAGCAGCTTGTTGCTCGTGGAATAGAATCTGGTGAGTGGCCCGGTGTTAATGGGAAAGAATGCGGTGAGAGGCCCGGTGTTAATGGGATAGAATGTGGCGAGGTGGCTGGTGTTAATGGGATAGTATGTGGCGAGCGGCCCGGTGTTAATGGGAAAGAATGCGGTGAGAGGCCCGGTGTTAATGGGATAGAATGTGGCGAGGTGGCTGGTGTTAATGGGATAGTATGTGGCGAGCGGCCCGGTGTTAATGGGAAAGAATGCGGTGAGAGGCCCGGTGTTAATGGGATAGAATGTGGCGAGCAGCTCGGTGTTAATGGGATAGAATGTGGCAAGCGGGCCGGTATTCATGGGATAGAATGTGGCAAGTGGCTCGTTGCTCGTGGAATAGACTGTGGTGAGCAGCTCTGTGTTAATAGAATAGAATGTGGCGAGCTTGCCGATGTTAATGGGATAGAATATGGTGAGTGGCACGATGGTCGGGGGGAGAATGTGGTGAGCAGCCCGGTGCTCTTGTGGATGAATGCAACAAAAAGCCTTTTCTTAGTTACTACTTATTCCATAAATGGTCACTCTCATTACAGGAACGCTATCGGCAGGACTGTAACCTAGCTGTTCAGCTACTTAAATGCAACAAGTCCCATTTCCGAAACCACAAGTTTGCAGATGTGAGTATTAATAGTTCATAAATTTCTCCGATCATGCTGTATTTGTGTAAGGGAATACTCCAAACCCTTAAAGCACTTTATGTGCTTGTCTGCTTCCCCACATCGTTGATGTGTTTGCTTCTCCCATATGTTAGTGTGTGAGTGCTTCCACTCCCTCGCGTTGATCTGTTGGTTCTTTCCTATACAGTTGCCGTACAAACTACAGGACATGGTGAGCAAACACTTTGAAAGCACAGCATCATCTCCACGATCTGGACAGGAGACCCCTCCACCTGGTCTTTCACACTCTGATGTGGTGCCCAGTTCTATCATCGCCCGTGTACTAGAAAAGCCAGAGTCGCTCATCCTAAACTCTGCCACATCTAGCAGTGGCAGCGGCCCCACTGCAGAGGATGTTTTTGTGCATGTGGACATGAGTTGCCCAGGTGAGAGGGTGGAGGAGAGCAGGCAGCAAAATGGGGGTCTCCAACAGCAGAGTAGTGTAGATAGCACCTCTGAGGACCCTCCTACTTTTGAGAAACTGAGCCCGTACCCCACACCACCCCCACCACATCCCATGTACCCTGGCCGCAAGGTGATAGAGTTCTCAGATGAAAAGGTGCGAATCCCCAAAAATAGCCCACTACCCAACTGTACCTATGCCACCCGGCAAGCAATCTCCCTTAGCCTTGTGCAGGGTGAGGAGGGCAGTCCAGACAGGCATCGCACAGTTCCCAATAGCCCAGCGTCTGCAGCAAACTACCCACAGCGGGCACGGAGTGCAGATATCCCTGCCCGATCTCCTCTTAGTAGTGCAGTTGCCAGCTCTGCGAGCTCTGAAGAGGACATGTTGGCAAACTGGCAAAAAATGTTTGTGGAAAAGGCGGCACCCAGCACGGAGAGGTCCCTGGCACATCGCACTTCCTTCAGCAGGGACACAGCTCTGGAACTGCAACAAAGATTCAGCCAATCTATGCAGGAACTCAGCCGGGCCGCTCAAGCTTACTCAGACAGGGAAAGCTCAGGGCTTGGATGGAGCAGCAGCCGAGATGCTGAGGTTGTTGGGGCCCGGAGAGGGCCTCTACCAAATGAGTATGGGAAGGAATTCTCCCAAGAGGAAGCACAGGACCTTCTGTCTGGAGCAGTGGAGGAAGAGGAAGAAGCCGCTGAGCAGCAGGTCCTCTCGGAGGAGGCAGATCAGGAGACCGTGATAGAGGACGACATTGGGGAGACATATATACCACCGGAGGATTATGTGCAGAAAAACCCCCTTCTGGACGCCCACATCGGAGTCCAAAAAGAATGGGTGTGCATCACCTCCACAGGAAGGACAGTCTGACCCGGGCACAGGAACAGGGAAACCTACTGAACTAATGATGGGGAGGGCTGGGCATACACAGGGCTGGTACCCCTTCCCGACTCTCCAGTCAGTATATGCAAAACTCCATTTCCACCACTGTCTCAAGCTCTACAGGAGATGGGTAACCAGAGTGTCCAGGCAGTGCATCACTGCCTTAACTGCAACAGGCTGGTTTCCATGAAACAAAGTAAATCTGTATTGTGTAGTTTGGTTTTATTTGGGTTTGTTTGATCAGCTCTTTGTGTGGGAAGCTAAATATGTTCTAGTTTGTTTGTAGCCCATAAGGAATAGTCTTTATTTGGCACTCCTGCTATTCTCAGCAAGCCTTAAAACCTCAATCTGTTCTTCTTAGCAGATGTTTCCACCTTAGCCTCCCTCCACATCTGTCTGAGGTTGCCATAATTATTGCCAGTGGCCAGTGATATACCACTATATAAACATGAAATCTGCCTTGTTCCAAAGTTTGTGACGTTTACAAGGACCCAATGAACGCCTTCTCTTCCAGTCCCTGGTGGAAGTGATAGGAATACATGTCTTCTGATCTGTAGGTTTCTGAGAGTTAGTCCTTCATCGTTTCCTCCTCCAACTGTTGGCATCCCCTACCTCGCGCTCAGACTGATCAGGGCGGTCTCTGACTGTTTGAAGAATGTCCTCTGCTCCTGCTAGGAGATCATGTAAATGGCAACCATCCTTAAGGTCCCTGTGCGTCTCCCCCGTGTAATGGAGCCGTTCTCAGACAGTAATGTCTCCTCTCTGAGTGTTTTGTTTCTCTGTGATGGTGGCACACGCAGGGAATCTCATTTTGTGTTTTTCTCTGTTTTGGTTTGTTGTGTGTTTTAAAATGTGTTCAGAGATATTTGTTGTCCCAAACAGAGGGTTTTTAATCCCATCATATCTCTCATCACATGTACTTTTCCAACCCTTGCATCTGCTTCTCGGCACCATTCTCTCACCTTGCTTTCCCACTATTCCCCTCCCGTAACAGCTTTTCTGCATTTATCACAGGAAACCATATTACTTCCATATATTACAGCTCCTCCCTTTGCCATTTCAGCACTCCATACATTTCTGCTTACTCCCTTATCCCCATTATCACAGAGCTTCTAGGGTCCCCCATATCTTACAGCATCACCACCATAATCACAGAGCTCTACGTTCACCCACACCTTACAGCTTCACCCCAAAAAATCACGTCTCTAGATTTATCTACACCTTACAGCTTCACCCCAAAAAAATCAGATCTCTAGGTTTCTCCACACCTTACAGCTTCACCCCAAAAAAATCAGATCTCTAGGTTTCTCCACACCTTACAGCTTCACCCCAAAAAAATCAGATCTCTAGGTTTCTCCACACCTTACAGCTTCACCCCCAAAAAATCAGATCTCTAGGTTTCTCCACACCTTACAGCTTCACCCCAAAAAAATCAGATCTCTAGGTTTCTCCACACCTTACAGCTTCACCCCCAAAAAATCAGATCTCTAGGTTTCTCCACACCTTACAGCTTCACCCCAAAAAAATCAGATCTCTAGGTTTCTCCACACCTTACAGCTTCACCCCCAAAAAATCAGATCTCTAGGTTTCTCCACACCTTACAGCTTCACCCCCAAAAAATCAGATCTCTAGGTTTCTCCACACCTTACAGCTTCACCCCCAAAAAATCAGATCTCTAGGTTTCTCCACACCTTACAGCTTCACCCCCATAATCAGAGCTCAAGGTTCCCCCAAACCTTACAGCTTCACCCCCAAAAAATCAGATCTCTAGGTTTCTCCACACCTTACAGCTTCACCCCCAAAAAAATCACATCTCTGAATTTATCTACACCTTACAGCTTCACCCCAAAAAAATCAGATCTCAAGGTTCCCCCAAACCTTACAGCTTCACCCCAAAAATTAGATCTCTAGGTTCTGCCACACCTTACAGCTTCACCCCAAAAATCAGATCTCTAGGTTCTGCCACACCTTAAAGCTTCACCCCCCCATAATCAGAGCTCTAGGTTCTGCCACACCTTACAGCTTCACCCCCACATAAACAGAGCTCTAGGTTACCCCACATCTTACAGCTTCACCCCCATAATGACAGAGCTCTGGGTTCCCCTCACACCTTACAGCTTCACCCCAAAAAAACAGATTTCTAGGTTCCCCCACACATTACAGCTTCACCCCCCATAATCACAGAGCTCTAGGTTCCCCCACACATTACAGCTTCACCCCCATAATCACAGAGCTCTAGGTTCCCCCACACATTACAGCTTCACCCCCCATAATCACAGAGCTCTAGGTTCCCCCACACATTACAGCTTCACCCCCCATAATCACAGAGCTCTAGGTTCCCCCACACATTACAGCTTCACCCCCATAATCACAGAGCTCTAGGTTCACCCCCCATAATCAGAGCTCTAGGTTCCCCCACACATTACAGCTTCACCCCCATAATCACAGAGCTCTAGGTTCACCCCCCATAATCACAGAGCTCTAGGTTCCTCCACACATTACAGCTTCACCCCCCATAATCACAGAGCTCTAGGTTACCCCACACATTACAGCTTCACCCCCATAATCACAGAGCTCTAGGTTCCCCCACACATTAGAGCTGATTTCTCTTCTTGACCTTTATTTACTAGTCTGTCATACAGAGTGTCCTCCTTTCCATGTCATTCACTCCCAGTTTATTCTGTTTGTCCATCTAATTATATAAATATATATTTTTGTATCCTGCACAGTATTATGTTACAATGTGTCTGGCCTCTCCACCTTCTGATCTCAGACTGTTAATCTTAGATTTATTTTCTGACATTTTTCAAAACTGATGTCTATTTTCCGAAATAAATAAACTATTTTAAAAGTAATCTGTATTTCTGGTCAAACTGTAAAAGATAATGTTGTTTTTCAGTAAACAAAACCAATAGAAACAATGCAAATCTTCCACTGGATGGTAAAATACTAATTGTTTAAAAAAATAATTAAATTCATTTAAATAATGCTGAGAATTTTCAAAATAAGGTATTATCTATCACAGGGTCTCAACTGTTAACATAAAACAGAAATCGCTTCTGTTTCACGAAGTAAAAGACAAAAGTAGATTAATAGTGACATAGCTCCTGTACTCCGACCGAGAACCTCCGCCCAGTCTGCTTCCTTGCCGTTTGCAGGGACCCTGGAACTCTTCAGCCCCAGTTGCTGAAGCTTGACTGGGGTCTCTCCGGATCTCTTCCACTCGGCTGCAGCTCTCCTTCCAGGCAGGTATCGTCCCCTCTGCCTATTCCTCTGCAGCTCTCCTTACAGGCAGGTATCGTCCCCTCTGCCTATTCCTCTGCAGCTCTCCTTCCAGGCAGGTATTGTCCCCTCTGCCTATTCCTCTGCAGCTCTCCTTCCAGGCAGGTATCATTCCCTCTGCCTACGGCGTTGCAGCTCTCTCCTTCCAGGCAGGTATCGTCTCCTCTGCCTATTCCTCTGCAGCTCTCCTTCCAGGCAGGTATTGTCCCCTCTGCCTATTCCTCTGCAGCTCTCCTTCCAGGCAGGTATCGTCCTCTCTGCCTATTCCTCTGCAGCTTTCCTTCCAGGCTGGTATTGTCCCATCTGCCAATTCCTCTGCAGCTCTCCTTCCAGGCAGGTATTGTCCCCTCTGCCTATTCCTCTGCAGCTCTCCTTCCAGGCAGGTATATGCGTCCTCTCTGCTATTCCTCGCAGCTTTCCTTGAGGCAGGTATTGTCTATCTGCCTATTCCTCCTGCAGCTCACCTCCTTCCAGGCAGGTATGGAGTCCCCTCTGCTATTCCTCTGCAGCTCTCACTTACAGGCAGGTATGGTCCCTCTGCCTATTCCTCTGCAGCTTCTTACAGGCAGGTATTGTCCCTCTGCCTCTATATTCCTCTGCTGGCTCTCCTTCAGGCAGGTATGTCCTCTCTGCCCTGTTCACCTGCAGCTTTCCTTCCAGGCAGGTGGTGTCCCATCTTGATTCCTCTGCGGCTCTCCTTCAGGCGAAGGTGGTAACCCCTCACTATTCCTCTGCAGCCCTCCTTCCAGGCAGGTATCGTCTCCTCTGCCTATTCCTCTGCAGCTCTCCTTCCAGGCAGGTATCGTCCCCTCTACCTATTCCGCTGCAGCTCTCCTTCCAGGCAGGTATCGTCCCCTCTGCCTATTCCTCTGCAGCTCTCCTTCCAGGCAGGTATCGTCCCCTCTGCCTATTCCTCTGCAGCTCTCCTTCCAGGCAGGTATCGTCCCCTCATCCTATGCCGCTGCAGCTCTCCTTCCAGGCAGGTATCGTCCCCTCTGCCTATTCCTCTGCAGCTTTCTCCTTCCAGTCAGGTATTGTCCCCTCTTCCTATGCCGCTGCTGCTCTCTCCATCCAGGCAGGTATCGTCCCCTCTGCCTATTCCTCTGCAGCCCTCCTTCCAGGCAGGTATCGTCCCCTCTTCCTATGCCGCTGCTCTCTCCTTCCAGGCAGGTATCGTTCCCTCTGCCTACGCCGCTGCTGCTCTCCTTCCAGGCTGGTATCATTCCTTCTGCCTACGCTGTTGCAGCTCTCTCCTTCCAGGCAGGTATCGTTCCCTCTACCTACGGTGTTGCAGCTCTCTCCTTCCAGGCAGGTATCATTCCCTCTGCCTACGGCGTTGCAGCTCTCTCCTTCCAGGCAGGTATCGTCCCCTCTGCCTATTCCTCTGCAGCTCTCCTTCCAGGGAGGTATCGTCCCCTCTGCATGCTTACATTGATTGCTATTGCCTTTACAAAGGCACTTGCGGATCTCAGGCCTAGCTCTCTTGATTTATCACAGGTCTAGGAAAAACCGTACAGCCAGCCTACAGATCCAAAGACTCTGTTACTAGGATTCGGAAAAATCCACACAGGACACCCAATTCCAAACGGAACCAACATAGAATTCTTTACTTTTAGTCGTGATTAAGATTTCTGTGATAACTATAATAAAATACAAATATAAAGAACATATAGTAATTAAAATTAATACAATGCAAATGAATACACTTCTAGACAGTCAGCAGAGGGCACAGCAAAGTTCTCAAGTAACAATGAATAATTTGTCTATTGATTACTGTCTGGAAGTCCTGGGACCATAATCTGTGGCTATGGGAGCTTCTGCCAAAAATAGAATTGGTCAAATACTGTGTGCATGAGGGTTTGAAGGGAACCGTTCCTTTATAACCCATACATACACGGCTGCCGGTAGTATGCGCTCTCTATACATACACTGCTGCCGGTAGTATGCTCTCTCTCCACACATACAGTGCTGCCGGTAGTGTTCTCTCTCTCTCTCCACACATACAGTGCTGCCGGTGGTGTTCTCTCTCTCCACACATACAGTGCTGCCGGTAGTGTTCTCTCTCTCCACACATACAGTGCTGCCGGTAGTGTTCTCTCTCTCCACACATACAGTGCTGCCGGTAGTGTTCTCTCTCTCTCTCCATACATACAGTGCTGCCGGTAGTGTTCTCTCTCTCCATACATACAGTGCTGGCGGTAGTTTTCTCTCTCTCCATGCATACAGTGCTGGCAGTAGTTTTCTCTCTCTCCATGCATACAGTGCTGGCGGTAGTTTTCTCTCTCTCCATGCATACGAATTACTTGCGGTAGTGTTCTCTCTCTCCACCCCCCCATGCATACAGTGCTGCGGTGGTGTTCTCTCTCTCCATACATACAGTGCTGCCCGGTAGTGTTCTCTCTCTCCATGCATACAGTGCTGCGGTAGTGTTCTCTCCTCTCCACCCCCCATGCATACAGTGCTGCCGGTAGTGTTCTCTGTCTCTCTCTCTCCATGCATACAGTGCTGCCGGTAGTGTTCTCTCTCTCCATGCATACAGTGCTGCCGGTAGTGTTCTCTCTCTCTCTCTCTCTCTCTCCATGAATACAGTGCTGCCGGTAGTGTTCTCTCTCTCCATGCATACAGTGCTGCGGTAGTGTTCTCTCTCCATGCACATACGTGCTGCGGTAGTGTTCTCTCCCCTTGCATACAGTGCTGCCGGTAGTGTTCTCTCTCCCCCCATGCATACAGTGCTGCCGGTAGTGTTCTCTCTCTCCCCTTGCATACAGTGCTGCCGGTAGTGTTCTCTCTCTCTCCATACATACAGTGCTGCCGGTAGTGTTCTCTCTCTCTCCATACATACAGTGCTGCCGGTAGTGTTCTCTCTCTCTCTCCATACATACAGTCCTGCCGGTAGTGTTCTCTCTCTCTCTCCATACATGCAGTGCTGCCGGTAGTGTTCTCTTTCTCTCTCTCCATACATGCAGTGCTGCCGGTAGTGTTCTCTTTCTCTCTCTCCATACATGCAGTGCTGCCGGTAGTGTTCTCTCTCTCTCTCTCTCTCTCTCTCTCTCTCTCTCTCTCTCTCTCTCTCTCTCTCTCTCTCTCCATACATACAGTGCTGCCGGTAGTGTTCTCTCTCTCTCTCTCTCTCTCCATACATACAGTGCTGCCGGTAGTGTGCTCTCTCTCTCCATACATACAGTGCTGCCGGTAGTGTTCTCTGTGTCTCTCTCTCTCCCCATACATACAGTGCTGCCGGTAGTGTTCTCTGTGTGTGTCTCTCTCTCTCCATACATACAGTGCTGCCGGTAGTGTTCTCTGTCTCTCTCTCTCCATGCATACAGTGCTGCCGGTAGTGTTCTCTCTCTCCATACATACAGTGCTGCCGGTAGTGTTCTCTCTCTCTCTCTCTCTCCATGAATACAGTGCTGCCGGTAGTGTTCTCTCTCTCCATGCATACAGTGCTGCCGGTAGTGTTCTCTCTCTCCATGCATACAGTGCTGCCGGTAGTGTTCTCTCTCTCCATGCATACAATGCTGCCGGTAGTGTTCTCTCTCCCCTTGCATACAGTGCTGCCGGTAGTGTTCTCTCTCCCCCCATGCATACAGTGCTGCCGGTAGTGTTCTCTCTCTCCCCTTGCATACAGTGCTGCCGGTAGTGTTCTCTCTCTCTCCATACATACAGTGCTGCCGGTAGTGTTCTCTCTCTCTCCATACATACAGTGCTGCCGGTAGTGTTCTCTCTCTCCATACATACAGTGCTGCCGGTAGTGTTCTCTCTCTCTCTCCATACATACAGTGCTGCCGGTAGTGTTCTCTTTCTCTCTCTCTCCATACATGCAGTGCTGCTGGTAGTGTTCTCTCTCTCTCTCTCCATACATACAGTGCTGCCGGTAGTGTTCTCTCTCTCTCTCTCTCTCTCTCTCTCTCTCTCTCTCTCTCTCTCTCTCTCTCTCTCTCTCTCTCTCATGCAGCCACAGTGCGCCGGTAGTGTTCTCTCTCTCTCTCTCCCCATACATACAGTGCTGCCGGTAGTGTTCTCTGTGTCTCTCTCTCTCTCCATACATACAGTGCTGCCGGTAGTGTTCTGTGTCTCTCTCTCTCCATACATACAGTGCTGCCGGTAGTGTTCTCTCTCTCTCTCTCTCTCCATACATACAGTGCTGCCGGTAGTGTTCTCTGTGTCTCTCTCTCTCCCCATACATACAGTGCTGCCGGTAGTGTTCTCTCTCTCTCTCCATACATACAGTGCTGCCGGTAGTGTTCTCTCTCTCTCTCCACACATACAGTGCTGCCGGTAGTGTTCTCTCTCTCCATACATACAGTGCTGCCGGTAGTGTTCTCTCTCTCCATACATACAGTGCTGGCGGTAGTTTTCTCTCTCTCTCCATACATACAGTGCTGGCGGTAGTTTTCTCTCTCTCCATGCATACAGTGCTGGCGGTAGTTTTCTCTCTCTCCATGCATACAGTGCTGCCGGTAGTTTTCTCTCTCTCCATGCATACAGTGCTGCCGGTAGTTTTCTCTCTCTCCATGCATACAGTGCTGCCGGTAGTGTTCTCTCTCTCCATGCATACAGTGCTGCCGGTAGTGTTCTCTCTCTCCATGCATACAATGCTGCCGGTAGTGTTCTCTCTCCCCTTGCATACAGTGCTGCCGGTAGTGTTCTCTCTCTCCATGCATACAGTGCTGCCGGTAGTGTTCTCTGTCTCTCTCTCTCCATGCATACAGTGCTGCCGGTAGTGTTCTCTCTCTCCATGCATACAGTGCTTCCGGTAGTGTTCTCTCTCTCTCTCTCTCTCTCTCTCTCTCCATGAATACAGTGCTGCCGGTAGTGTTCTCTCTCCCCTTGCATACAGTGCTGCCGGTAGTGTTCTCTCTCCCCCCATGCATACAGTGCTGCCGGTAGTGTTCTCTCTCTCCCCTTGCATACAGTGCTGCCGGTAGTGTTCTCTCTCTCTCCATACATACAGTGCTGCCGGTAGTGTTCTCTCTCTCTCCATACATACAGTGCTGCCGGTAGTGTTCTCTCTCTCCATACATACAGTGCTGCCGGTAGTGTTCTCTCTCTCTCTCCATACATACAGTGCTGCCGGTAGTGTTCTCTTTCTCTCTCTCTCTCTCTCTCTCTCTCCATACATACAGTGCTGCGGTAGTGTTCTCTCTCTCCATACATACAGTGCTGCGGTGAGTGTTCTCTTTCTCTCTCCATACATGCAGTGCTGCGGTAGTGTTCTCTCTCTCTCTCTCCATACATACAGTGCTGCGGTAGTGTTCTCTCTCTCTCTCCATACATACAGTGCTGCGGTAGTGTTCTGTGTCTCTCTCTCTCCCCATACATACAGTGCTGCCGGTAGTGTTCTCTCTCTCCATGCATACAGTGCTGCCGGTAGTGTTCTCTCTCTCTCCATACATACAGTGCTGCCGGTAGTGTTCTCTCTCTCTCTCCATACATACAGTGCTGCCGGTAGTGTTCTCTCTCTCCATACTTACAGTGCTGCCGGTAGTGTTCTCTTTCTCTCTCTCTCCATACATGCAGTGCTGCCGGTAGTGTTCTCTCTCTCTCTCCATACATACAGTGCTGCCGGTAGTGTTCTCTCTCTCTCTCATACAGTCTCTCTCTCTCTCTCCATACATACAGTGCTGCCGGTAGTGTTCTCTCTCTCCCCATACATACAGTGCTGCCGGTAGTGTTCTCTGTGTCTCTCTCTCTCCCCATACATACAGTGCTGCCGGTAGTGTTCTCTGTGTCTCTCTCTCTCCCCATACATACAGTGCTGCCGGTAGTGTTCTCTGTGTCTCTCTCTCCCTCCATACATACAGTGCTGCCGGTAGTGTTCTCTCTCTCTATATATACAGTGCTACTTGAGAGAGGCAAAACAAAGTTAAATAAAATAATGTGGAGAGGTGGGTGGAATGACTTGAACGGAATGTCCCAGGTAAGGAGAGAATTGTTTTTTTATGGGCAACAATCCTCCCGTATTTACAGGCCTTTGGCCTTCAAACTGGTCGGAAACATAAAAGCTGTGATGTAGACTAATGGTGATGTAAGCTGGTTGTGGTGTGACGTTTGGGTAGGCCTGTAAATAAGAGGGCAAAAAAGCTAAGCAAAGAAAACGCACTTTATTGCACAACATATTATAATGCAACATTTTTGAAAGCTTTCCTCAACTCTTTCTCTGGATGAGGAATGTAACGGTTATATGCTGAGAATTTCCATCATCCCAGCCTCTTAATGATGTGAACCTGGGTTGTAACAGTGAAAGCCACTGATGATATATATAAAAATATAAAGTCCGGAGCCTGGAGGGATGGGAGTGGCTAGTATTGGCTATTTAACCCCCGTAATGGCGAACTATGCCTCCCCGCATTTAGTGAGCCTGTCTCTGCAGACTTACCTGGACCGGCAATCCCGGTCCGGGAAGGAATGCCTCTTGAGACAGGCAGTCCCCTCCCGCTTCCATTTCAGTCCTCCAGGGCCATGTGATCGCTACAGACATTGCTAATCACATGGCCACAAAGCAGTCTGAAACTGCCTGAGTGTTCAGACAGTCCACCTTGTGCCTAAAAAATAAAAAAATAAATACAATCAAACAATACAATATACACTGCTCAAAAAAACACATCCTAGATCTGAATGAATTAAATATTCTTCTGAAATACTTTGTTCTTTACATAGTTGAATGTGCTGACAACAAAATCACACAAAAATAAAAAAAAGGAAATCAGGGGGCGTGGCCTAGAGGCGAACCGGAGCGGCCGCATGTGCTAGCCGCTCCGTAAACGGCTTCAAAGGTGCAATTAAGCCCGAAATCGGCCGCACAAATACACAATGTCGCAGCTTAAAGAGAAATGAACCACGGAGAGAGCAGGGCAAGCCAGAAGCCTGCCGCCATAAGAGCAGACCCAAGATGGCGCTGAGGACATGGCGGACAATAGGGAGCACCCGGAGGAGACTGAACCTGTGCTAACACACTCAAAGCGCTGCTGGACGAAATGTCAGCAAAAATCCTACTAAAGCTAGAGTCCACAATGAAGGACCTCAGAAAAGATGTGCAGGAGTTGGGGACGAGAACCTCACGAGTGGAGGTCAAAATGGCGGAATATGACACCGCTCACAACATCCTGGCGAGCACAGTGGACTCCATCTTAGCCAGAATGGACGCACAAGATACGAAAATCGCCAACATGGAAGACTGTGCCCAGAGGAATAATCTCCGCATAAGAGGCATAACAGAAACAGTGAGTGTACCTGACCTCGTGGCCCATGTAACAGGCCTCCTGAGACACCTACTGCCAGACTGGCCCCAAGAGATGCTGTTGATTGACAGAATCCACCGTACAGCAAAACCTAGCTTTTTACCCCCAGAAACACCACGAGATGTTCTGCTACGCATACATTATTTCCACGCCAAGGAGACAGTCCTGAATGCCAACAGAACGAACAAAGGCCTACCAGACCCATACAAACAAATCGCACTATACGCTGACATCTCGACCTTTACTTTGAAACGCCGCAGAGACTTCAGGGACATAACCCGGACCCTACGAGACCATGACCTTCCGTACCGCTGGGGATACCCAACAAAAATCTTGGTCAACAGAAGAGGAAAAACCACGGCTATCCAGACACCAGAGGAAGGACAGAAAATTTTGCAGGCTTGGGACATCTCTGTACCACAGAGACAGGCGCAAATAGACTTTCCCCAGATTGGAGAAAACCTAAGAGAAAATGAACGATCTAGCACAAAGCCATTCATGAACCAGGGGTGAACCCCTTTGCAGAGATAAAGTCGGTCTGAAACCAGGGATGGGTAATGTACTGGAACTGTAAATGTATAATGCAGGGCAGATATGGAAAGTGTGACTTTGCGGGTCAAATACCCCCCCCAAAAAAAAGGGGGAGGGAGGCCTTAGTTAGAGGGCTCGGATCCCCAACATAGCCTAAAACACAACTGGGTATCCAGAGGGAGGATAAGAGCGATACGCATTCAATATCCTGCCCGCATGCAGACAATATGCCCACACCCTACTGACAGGAAGATCATTAGAAACACCCCGCCGGTAGAATACCTACTAATCCACTAACTTAATATAAAAAAAAAAAATTGGTAGCGACGACAAGAAACAGACCTACATAGGGCGTTACAAACACTAACCATGGTTAAGAGAAGCCATAGGAAGGGAGGTACACCAGGCCAAGAAGCCTAGCTTCAACCCCAAGGCACGTCAATGCAGTGCCCAGCCATACCTCAGGCAGTATTGTTGATTGTATATACTTTTGTTGTTATATTACTGTTACGTATTGTATATTTCTGTTCAGTTTATGGTACCCTGGTCAAACAAACAGAGGGTGCAACGCAGGTAACCCCGTGCAAACATTTCTCTCGCACACTATAATACTGCTTCTCACCCACTTTAGACACACATCTACCCCACAAGCTCTACGGGCCACCCACACCCAGACCAAATATGGGACATCAGCACTCGGCTTGCAGGAGCTGGGAGGAGTGCTGACCCTTGACGAAACACACATCACAACACACTATAGCCCACCACACCATGAGAAACCACCGTGAGGATCTGTACCTATAACAAACGGGGATTGAATACCCCCGCTAAAAGACATATGTTAAACAGAGAGCTCAAGTCCCTAAGCGCGGATATCGTATGTCTCCAGGAGACTCATTTTAGACATATGGATCACCCCAATATCCAATCGATACAATTCCCGCACCAATACCATGCCACGTCACCTACTAAATCTAGAGGCGCCTCTATCCTCTTGAGCAAACACATAAAATTTGAACCACAACACCATGAAACAGATGCCAATGGCAGGTATGTCCTCTTACAGGGCAAAATAAACGATATGACCTACACAATAGTCAACATCTACACGCCCAACACGAACCAACGAAATTTCCTACAGAGCATTCTTTAAAAAACCAAACGCTATGCAACAGGGAATCACGATAATCTGTGGAGATTTCAACCATATCATAGATCCCAAATTGGACACCACACTATCGCAACACTGGCGTCGACAACGCCCCCTGAACAGACAATGCAAAGCCCTGCAGAAACCCATACACGAACACCATTTCTATGACGCATGGAGAACCACACACCCGGGGGACAAAACGTTCACTCATTTCTCACATGTCCACAACTCCTACTCTCGGATAGATGGGTTCCTCATCTCAGGGCAACACCAAATCCACACCTGTGAAATAAAGCAAATCACATGGTCCGACCATGCCCCAGTACTCCTTGACGTGAAAAACATGTACGATTTCAAACACCGTAGCCCCTGGAAGCTAAATAACACATTGCTCCAAAATGACGAATACACGAAAGAACTCACAGACGAACTCACATTATACTTTACACTGAACGACAATGGAGAGGTGTCACCGACCACTATCTGGCAGGCACACAAGACAGTAATACGAGGGCTGCTAATTAGGAAGGCGGCATACATGAAGAAAAAGGCGCAGACCACACTAAAAACATGGCAACAAGAGCTATACGACTTAAATAGGAGTAACCAACTACAACCAACGACAGAAAACAGATGCCACATCATGACCGTCTCTAGGCTCATACATCAACAGGCACTAGAACAAACGCAAACCAATATGACAAGACTTAAAATATCCCATTACATGCTGGGTAACAAAGCGAGCAAACTACTAGCTAACCAACTGAAGCAAAAACAAGCCAACCAAAAAATAGCCTACATTCTAGACAACAAAGGCCAGAAACACGCCACACCTAGAGAAATAAGCGAAGCATTCGCCGAATACTACCACACCCTGTACAACCTCAAAGGAGACTCGAACACGACACAACCCACGGACACCAGCATAAAAGCCTATTTAGACAAACTAGCCCTACCACAACTTACACCACAACAGCAGGCAGACTTAACCAAACCCATAGACACACAGGAGATGCTTAAAGCCATTCATACACTGCCAACGGGCAAATCACCAGGCCCAGATGGCCTGACAAACCTATACTACAAGAAATTCAGCCACGTATTCGCACCCCACCTAACAACGGCATTCAATCACGCTACAGCCCAAAATCCCTCCCAAGAGAGATGTTGTTAGCAGGGCCGGACTGGGAGAAAAATTCGGCCCGGGCATTTTTTTAACACAGCGGCCCACTAAAAAGGGGGCGGTGCAGAGGAGGTGTGTTTTGTCATCACCAATGACAAACACGCCTCCTCTCAAAGTGAGCATGTTGGTTCAATGCTCTTCCAGGGCAGACCATGCGCAGAGTTCTGCTGAAGAGCTCTAGCATGAGAAAAAAGTCCTGTATTTGTTCTGCACAGTGCAAGCAAAATTAATAACATGCTTGCACTGTGTTTCCTTGCAACTTGTCTCTGGTGTCTTTATAAATGGATACCAGGAGACAAAAGGCCAGGAAAGAGTATTGTGCATGTGTTTGGAGCCTGCTTGTGGTATTGCGTGTGTGTAGAGTGAGCTGGTCGTGGTGTGGTATTGTGTAATAAGGTCGGTTTTAGTCGTGTTGTGTTTGTGGTGTAATGTGATGCATATGTGGCTCAGGGACCCCCTCCCGCCCGGCTCTGGAAAGGGGTTAAAACTTACCTTTTTCCAGCGCCGTGTGGGGAGCTCTCCTCCTCCGATGCGCACGCGCGGCAAGAGCTGCGCGCGCATTCAGCCGGTCGCATAAGAAAGCATTTATAATGCTTTCCTATGGACGCTTGCGTGCTCTCACTGTGATTTTCACAGTGAAAAGCACGCAAGCGCCTCTAGCGGCTGTCAATGAGACAGCTGCTAGAGGCTTTGGGGGAAGGCTTAACCCATTGATAAACATAGCAGTTTCTCTGAAACTGCTATGTTTATAAAACAATGGGTTAACCCTAGAAGGACCTGGCACCAAGACCACTTCATTAAGCTGAAGTGGTCTGGGTGGCTAGAGTGGTCCTTTAAGAGTGTAGTGTGTGTGTGTGTGTGTATATATATATATGGAAGTATTGTGTATGTGTGTGGTGCAGTGTGTTGGGGGGGTTCTGTGTGTATGTGAGGGGTGCCTGTGTGTGAGGGGTGCGGTGTGAGAGTGCTCTGTGTGAGAGAGTGCTGTGAGTGTGATGGGTGTGAGAGTGCTGTGAGAGAGTGCTGTGTGTGTGAAAGTGCTGTGTGTGATGGTGTGAGAGTGCTGTGTGAGAGAGTGCTCTGTGAGAGTGCTGTGTGTGTGTGAGAGTGCTCTGTGTGATGGGTGTGAGAGTGCTGGGTGTGAGAGTGCTGTGTGTGATGGGTGTGAGAGTGCTGTGTGTGATGGGTGTGAGAGTGCTGTGTGTGAGAGTGCTGTAAAATGTTATTGTGTGTGTGTGTGTGTGTGTAGGGGGGGGTAAATAAAAAAACAAAACAAAACAAAAAAGTCATTATTCTTCCCCCCCCTCCCTTCTTACCTTTAGCCTGGAAGGGAGGGGGGGACCGGCACGCTGGGACTGGGAGGGGGGGTCCGGCACGCGGTGTTCCCTGGTGGTCCTCGTGGGTGAGTGAACTCTAGCCTGTGAGGCTAGAGTTCACTCTCGCGAGATCCGGTTGTTGCCATGGCAACGTGCCGGATCTCGCGAGAGGAACCCGGCGGAGCTGCAAGTTAGAGCTCCGCCGGGTCCTCTCTCCAGCCTGGCTGGCTCTCTCCCCGCCGGCGGCCGCATGTGGGCCGGTCAGGGAGATCCTTGATCTCCCCACCGGCCCGTCGTGGCAAACAGCGGGGCCGGCGCTAGGAGAGTGCCGGCCCTGCATAGACCGGCAGGGGAGATCCTGGGACCTCCCCTGCCGGCCTCGGCCCCGCGGCCCACCGGGCATTTGCCCGCTGTGCCCGATGGCCAGTCCGGGCCTGGTTGTTAGCACATATCGTTACATTGCCAAAACCCAACAAACCACCCACAACGCCGAAAAATTTTCGTCCTATTTCACTTCTAAACACAGACGCAAAGCTTTTCGCCAAACTATATGCTACGAGACTGGGACTAATCATACCACACATCATTCACAACGGCCAGGTGGAATTTGTAAAGGGGAGACAGGGGTCAGACAACACAAGGAAAGCCATAAACCTGCTATACAAACTACAGACAGAAAAAGAGGGAGGACTGTTCCTCTCCCTGGACACCGAAAAGGCCTTTGACAGGCTACACTGGGGGTTTTTAAAAGCGGTCTTACGCAAGTTTGGAATACCGGACGAATTTGGAGCAGTAGTGGACGCACTATACAGCTTACCCGAGGCACGAGTGTTAAACTCGGGGTTCCTATCGGAGCCGTTTCGGCTCTCCAACGGAACAAGACAAGGATGCCCCCTGTCGCCACTATTGTACATCCTAGCCCTAGAACCATTAGCCCCACGATTCAGAGAAAACAGAAACATACACGGGATTCAGGTGGGGAAGAGGGAATACAAAGCAGGACTTTTTGCAGATGACATTATGTTGACAATTACACAGCCACATATCTCACTACCAAACATTCTTGCCGAAATCAAGGAGTATGGGGATCAGTCTTACTATACACTGAACGTTACCAAGACACAAGCCATGGGGATAAGGATGACACAGGCCTCGATAGACAAACTAAAAGACAATTTCCAATTCGACTGGAGGGGGGACTACATCACTTTCCTGGGATTAAAACTACCAAAGCATCCTAACCAACTGCTGCAGCTCAATTATGGCAAACTCCTGAAGGAGAGCGAAGAAACACTGAAAAGTTGGGAACACAAATATCTGTCATGGGTAGGTAGGCTGACTGCCCTGAAAATGGTTTTACTCCCTAAGTTCCAATATCTCATAAGAACACTGCAGATTTTCCTCCCAAACAAGTACCTGACCAAGCTGCAACGCATATACACAACATTTGTATGGGCACACAAGAAAATAAGAGTGGCGTCAGCGATTCTGAGTAAACCCATCTTCCAAGGGGGCCTGGGCCTGCCAGCCGTACGCCTCTATTACGAAGCCGCCCTTATGTCCACTAGTCTCACTCTACACACAGGGGGAAACAAGCCTCAATGGGCAGAGATGGAGGCTGCAGGGATATACCCGGGGGGCATAAAATACCTGTTCTGGGTACCTCATAAGCTGAGACCCAAATACAAAGATTTACTTCCAACCACTTCTCTACTCCTAGACACATGGGACACGACGACAAAACTCCTAGGACAAAACAAAAGCTGGGTGATGGCGACCCCGATACAGAGCTTACACATCGTAAACCCCTCTTTAGACCACCGCCCCTGGACTCAGCAAGGGTGCACACGAATCGAACACCTCTACCAGGAGGGCAAACTAGAGCCATACCCCACATTGAAACAAAAACACCATTTATCAAATACCACTCTGTTCACATACCTCCAAATAAAATCACTTCTGGAGAACGAGACCACAACAACCACACCCACACCCCTAAAACAAATATACCATTTATGCGACACGGGTAACATACCAAAAAAGACACTTTCTCTACTCTACGCCACACTCAATGACAACCCCAAAACACCACCAGATGAAAAATTCAGGGAGCACTGGCATGAGGACCTACACAAACACTTTACTGACAGCCAATGGCAAAAAGCCTTTACCGCCCACAAAGGGAAATCTAGATGTGCAGCACACTTAGAGCTCATGAGGAAACTGCAATATAGGTGGTACATGGTGCCGACAAGACTGGCAGCCATGTATCCACAAACGTCAAAACTGTGTTGGAGGTGTGGGATGGAGGAAGGCAGTATGTACCACATATGGTGGACATGTAACCAAATACAACCATACTGGAGAGAAGTAGGAGACATTATTCGAAACGCACTTGACACACAAGCGCCCCTCCAGCCAGAATGTGGTTTGCTGTTCATGACTTTAGAGACGTACAACCGGCCACAAGCGATACTACTCTTCCATATCCTAATAGCCGCAAACACACTGATCGCAAGGGCTTGGAAACAAACCGCGAGACCTGAAAACACTGCATTACTGACTCAAATCTCTACCAATCTAATGTACAAAACCAAACTAAACGTCAAATTTGGAGCATCTGCTCACGCAATACAAGCTAGAGACAGATGGGAAGAGGTGATGAGAACCACATGAAGTAGGAACAGAACAACCGAGCTCTGCAGGCCAGAAAATAGGAGGGAGACAGGGAGAGAGAGTGCCGGGGAGAGGGGAAGTAGCGAGAGAGAGGAAGGAAAAAAAAAAAAAGAGGACGAGGGCTGACAACGAATCATGGCTATAAACCACAGGGAAAACCCAGATACACGCGCAAATCAGGGACAGTAGAGAGAGCGAGAATTAAAGCAGACAGGTACCAATATGTAAATAGTTATGTTAGGGAAAGCGAAGGAAAGGACAAGAGTTATACACAGAATGAGCAAACACACCATAAGGGTTGGTGCTTTACCCTGCTATGTTGTAACCCCCACCCCGCAGGAATCTTGGTTGTAACATGAAAGAATGTCATAACTTGTACATTGATTCCCCCCAAACCCCTTTTTCATTTCTGTACCCAAACACGAAAATGCTTAATAAAAATTCAATTGGTAAAGAAAAAAAATGGAAATCGAATTTTTCAACCCATGGAGGTCTGGATTTGGAGTCACACTCAAAATTAAAGTGGAAAAAAACACTACAGGCTGATCCAACTTTGATGTAATGTCCTTAAAACAAGTCAAAATGAGGCTCAGTAGTGTGTGTGGCCTCCACATGCCTGTATGACCTCCCTACAACGTGCCTGTATGATCCTGATGAGGTGGCGGATGATCTCCTCCCAGACCTGGACTAAAGCATCTGCCAACTCCTGAACAGTCTGTGGTGCAACGTGATGTTGGTGGATCGAGCGAGACATGATGTCCCAGATGTGCTCAATTGGATTCAGGTCTGGGGAACGGGCGGGCCAGTCCATAGCATCAATGCCTTAGTCTTGCAGGAACTGCTGACACACTCCAGCCACATGAGGTCTAGCATTGTCTTGCATTAGGAGGAACCCGGGCCAACCGCACCAGCAAATGGTCTCACAAGGGGTCTGAGGATCTCATCTCGGTACCTAATGGCAGTCAGGCTACCTCTGGCGAGCACAGGAGGGCTGTGCGGCCCCCCAAAGAAATGCCACCCCACATCATTACTGACCCACTGCCAAACCGGTCATGCTGGAGGATATTGCAGGCAGCAGAACGTTCTCCACGGCGACTCTATCACGTCTGTCACGTGCTCAGTGTGAACCTGCTTTCATCTGTGAAGAGCATAGGGCACCAGTGGCAAATTTGCCAATATTGGTTTTCTCTGGCAAATGCCAAGCGTCCTGCACGGTGTTGGGCTGTAAGCACAACCCCCACCTGTGGACGTCGGGCCCTCATACCACCCTCATGGAGTCTGTTTATGACTGTTTGAGCAGACACATGCACATTTGTGGCCTGCTGGAGGTCATTTTGCAGGGCTCTGGCAGTGCTCCTCCTGTTCATCCTTGATAGCAGTCCTGCTGCTGGGATGTTGCCCTCCTACGGCCTCCTCCACGTCTCCTGATGTACAGGCCTGTCTCCTGGTAGCGCCTCCATGCTCTGGACACTATGCTGACAGACTCAGCAAACCTTCTTGCCACAGCTCGCATTGATGTGCCATCCTGGATGAGCGGCACTACCTGAGCCACTTGTGTGGGTGTTAGACTCCGTCTCATGCTACCACTAGAGTGAAAGCACCGCCAGCATTCAAGTGACCAAAACATCAGCCAGGAAGCATAGGAACTGAGAAGTGGTCTGTGGTCACCACCTGCAGAACCACTCCTTTGATGGGGGGTATCTCCTTTATTGCTAATTGCCTTTAATTTCCACCTGCTGTCTATCCCATTTGCACAACAGCATGTGAAATTGATTGTCACTCAGTGTTGCTTCCTAAGTGGACAGTTTGATTTCACAGAAGTGGGATTGACTTGGAGTTACAATGTGTTGTTCCCGTTATTTAATAAACTTGTAAAATATTATATCATAATAAATGATATACATAAAATTATATTTTTTTAAAATATATGTAATATCTGAAGCGTGTGTGTGTGTGTATATATATATATATATATATATCTCAAAGTACACTTAGAATTGTAGATTATGCTAACGTAGTGTACCTATAATCTTAATTTTATCACATGACAGGAGGCTTCATATTTTCCATAACTTTCTTTACTTTATGCCTCCAGCAGCACAAGTCAATCAATACATCAGTAACCGGCATCCCATCCATATATAAAGCCCTGACAGACACATGACTGATCTCCCTGAAGTAAACCCATGTTATCTCTGATCTTGAAATCCATGTGTTTTTAGATGTTCAACAATCCTATCCTTTAACATGGTTTCCATCACTTTCCCCACTACTGAAGTAAGGATTACTGGCCTATAGTTGCCCGACTCCTCCCTATTACCTTTCTTGTAAATGGGCACAACATTCGCTAACTTCCAATCTTCTGGGACTACTCCTGTTAACAATGATTGGTTAAATAAATCTGTTAATGGTTTTGCTAGTACACCACTAAGCTCTTTTAATAGCTTTGGGTGTATTCCATCAGGTCCCATTGACTTATTTGTCTTTACTTTTGACAGTTGAAATAGAACCTCTTCCTCTGTAAACTCACGTGTAATAAATGACTCATTTATCCTTTTTCTCAACTGAGGTCCTTTCCTTCATTTTCTTCTGTAAATACAGAACAAAAATATTCATTGAGGCAGTCAGCCTGACCTTTATCCTCTTCTACATACCTTCCTTCTTTTGTTTTTAATCTAACTAATCCTTGTTTTACTTTTCTTTTCTCATTTATGTATCTAAAAAATGTTTTATCCCCCTTTTTTACTGACTGTGCTATTTTCTCTTCTGTGTGTGATTTGGAAGCTCTTATAACTCTTGTCAAGTCATGAACAACAAACAACGTCAGAAGCGTCTTACCTGGGCTAAAGAAAAACAGACCTGGTCTGTTGCTCAGTGGTCCAAATTCCTCTTTTCTGATGAGAGCAACTTTTTTTTTTTTAAATACTTTTTAATTATAATTTTGCAAATTAAACAAGTATTAAAGAAAAAGTCATGTCATAAGATAAACACAAAATATAAATATTACATTACAATATACACGAAACTACATAAAAAGACGTACAACAAAGAAAACAAGGTATCGGGTCGGCCATCGGGATCTGGGAAAAGGACAGTCGATATCGCTTCTTTAAAGTATTCATGATAGCTAGAGCCACTTTCAGAGTATTATTCCGTGTTTATCTTACAGAAGCATCAATGCTAGGGTTGTTAAATTACATAAGGCTTGAATGGTTTATTCTTTATAATAATCAAACCATTTTCCCCAAATCTTATTGTAAAAGCTGATGTTATCCTTAAAATACACCGCCTTTTCCATTAGACCTTGATATTGAATCTGGGTTTTGATCTCTGCTATAGAGGAAGATATATTCTGTTTCCATTTTCTAGCAATACATAGTTTAAGAGCCATCAAGATATGTATAGTCAAATATTGAGAGAATTTATCCATTTTGGGGAAATTTAAATGGAATAAAAATCTTTCTGGAGATAATGTAATATTTACTTTTAAATCAGTAAAGAGTTTAGATATTTCCAATTTAAGAGTGTCCAAACCTATACATTCCCACCACACATGTTTGAATAAACTATGTTCACTATTACAACGCCAACAGATATTTGAGGAGTTGGCTTGAAATTTACATATTTTCGTAGGGATTGTAACGGATCACCTGGCACCCCAACTGGGTACCTCCATTGAAGGATGCTCCTAGCGCTTCCTGAGGACTCCAAGCACTGCACCAGACACCATAACCACCATAGACTCCTTCAGAGAGCAAAACAGGAACAAGCTCTTATAAGAGCTTAGCAGTGAATATAGCAAGAGAGTATGCAGAGCATAGCAATCTCTTGTAGCAGATTCCCCCAATAAGAGACGGCACTTCAAATTGAGGGTGAAGTAGAACTGCCAGAGCTGTGGGTTTATGGTTCTTATATACACATTCTTACACATTAGTACCACCCACAGGATTTTGGAAAACAACCAATAAACACATACAATACACTAAGACACTCCCACACAAAATCTTCCCCTCTGCCTGTGATACAATTACCTTACACAATGGGTTAATATAATTATCACAGGCAGGAAAATACAGTTTTACACAATATTCATAACTTTAAAAGTATGCATCACATTCACATAAAATTCACTTACTTTTTCAGAATCAGCATACTCCAAATACAAACATATGTCAAAATCATCCAAATTGGTCCATTGGTTCAAAAGATAGATCGAAGTCCTTTGTGACCAAATGAAGCATGGCTTTTCTGCCCAAAACCAGTTCCACAGAGTCTTCTATCCTGGAGATAATTAGAAGTAATCCAATTATCTCCAAGGACAGAGGCAAAACTCCATTAAGCACATGGCAGTAAAAAGACAGTAAAATACAATAAAATACACAAGGTTACATTTATGACATAAAATACAGACATGCAACATATGCCCAGATAGCTTAGGTCTGAGCGCACATTATTACTGAATGGCGCTCAGAGCACACACATACAGTTCAATTGCCATGGAGCCAAAGTCTTTCCCATAGTCTTTCATTATACGAATGGGCTCCATGGCATAGCTATCTGGGGTATCACCGCTCAAACAGGGCAAGCACCGAATGACCTGGCTTTCGTGTCTTCGCAGGGGAAAATCCAGCATTTCAACATGGGGCCATAGTCACAGGGCAGGAGGCTGGAAATCAGTCTTCTCCAATGCCCAGTGGCGAGGCTGGTTCCGCCACAGGAACCATATACCATCTATGGATAAGTTTAAGGTATGTTTCCTGTATGTTTATACAATGGACTGATTTTCTTAAAGCTTCAAATGCTTTTTAACCAGTCTTGGGATGAAAAAGATTTATTTAGGTCGGTTTCCCACCTAGAGATCGTATTATATTTTACCTCTTGATTTAATACGTCCAAAGATCTTCTCACTGCTGAAGATTTATTTTTAACCTCTCCAAAAAGGATCTTATCAAAAGGCGAATCTTTAATTATAGTTGCCTTATAAAGAAAGTTTTTTATTCTTAAATAGGTAAAATATTCTTTATTTACAAGTCCAATTTTTTCTTTAATACTTGGAAAGCTACTAATACCAGAAAAATCGTAACGGTCCTGGATTTTTAACCCAACTCTAAGTAACCTACCAGATAAGTTAAGATCTTGAATAAAGAATTTTAGAATCTCCAGAGGGGCATTTGAGGAAATTTGGTTTGGATCAAAAAAGTGTTTCTTTATTGGTATTATAGATTGGAAGGTATGGGAGATAATTACGTTGTAAATAGGTAGGTTTTTAAAAAGGTAAGGAGCATCACGCTGTGATCGCAGGTGTGGGAGATTGTGGCCAGGTGAATGCACAGACTCCACATGGAACGCTAAGCTAAGCCTCCTGCTTTTTCTCCTGCCTGCTACACGTACAGGGATATGGAACCTGACTCCACGAT